ATTGAGCTAAATTTCAACAAAATCCACTCCTACAAGCAATCCTCAGACTGTGAGTAAAGAAAAACAAAAGAACAACCTTTTAACTATCTTCACGGCGGCAACCTCCCATTCAAATACTCAGCCAACCTCTCCCTCAATCCAACCCCCTCCTCATCAACAACCTCACAAAACCTCTGCTTATACCCTTCATCATGATTATGACCCAATGGCATCTCATCCCTCACATCATCCTCCAAATCTATCACAATATTATGCAGCAAGCAGCACACAAGTATTATCCTCGGCAGCCGATGCTTATCTGGCCGCCACATCTCCCCCTGCACGATCCTCCACATCTCCTTCATCCTCGCCATAGCCCGTTGAGCCACCATCCTCGTCGCACAGTGTCGCCTGTTGAACTCCATCATCGACTCCGTTACGCCCTCCTTTCCTGAAAACGGAGTTATGAGCCACGGGAGTAACGGGAACGCTCCGTCGCCTATGATGTACTCTCTGATCTCCGATCCTTCTGATATATGCATCTTCTTCCCGTTCAGCCTGGAGTTTTTGCTGCATAGTTGAAAAAAGCCTGAATTGCGTAGAACGAGGTCGTCGTCCATGCTGCCTGGCCAACCCGTGACAATATCACGAAACCTCATGTCAGGGTCAACGATGGCCTGGAGGACCATGCTGTGGTTCTTGGCGTGGTCTAGCCAGACTTTGCTGCCTTGCTCCATTGTCGGTAGGCACATCATTATGTGGGTTGTGTCTATGACGCCGCAACAATTTGGGAGGCCTCGGATCTTTTGAAATTTGGATTTGATCGCTTCAAGCTCTGAATCGGACTTTGGCCATTGGAGATGGTGAAAGGCTCGTTCCTCCATGGACTCGACGAAACGCCAGGTGACCTGAGAGACGGTGGAGTGGTTCATGCCGAAGGAGACACCTACGTTGAGAAGGGACTCGCCGGAGCTTAGCCTTCTTAGGGCAACGGCAACTTGGTCTTCGATGGAGAGAGGCCTGCCATCGGTGAAGGTGAAGGTTGAGGTCTTAGCCAGTAGGTCATCTCGGACTAGGGAGCATATGTAATTGAAGGTCTTTCTTGAGATCTTGAAGACCGACTCAAACCTGTCAAGTCCTTTGGATAGAGATAATGGCCCTGGAGAACCATAAAAAAGAAAGTATCACCTATGAATCAGTTACCTTTGACAGAAACAGGATTTTCGTGGAAGATAACAATGTAACATGAGAACAGAAGCAGAACAAAGATTTCATGGTTATTTTATACCCTTGGAGGTAAATAGTCTTCGAACAAGCTAGATGAAAAACAGTAAGAATCATGACCAACCTTGAAGTAACCAACATCAGAGATCTCTAACATCTGTGAGTTAACCGTGCATAGATTTTCACAGTCCATGAGAAAGAAACATTGGTTATCTCCAGAAACTTTCCGTCTTCACATCAAACTTCATTCTCCTACGAGTCACAACCCTGCCTCCAATACCATTGTTGCAGAGAAGTCGGGTCTTTTGAGGATAAAGATGCGTGTTAAAAGTATAACGAAACTAATTTGACACAAATATATTAGACCTTCATTCTAAATTTCTGTTTAACTTTATGACTCTATTTTTCCAACATGGAACTACACATAGACATCTACTTCCTAACATTTGCATGTGTGAGATTCATTTACAGAATGCAAATGGTTAAGATACGTTATGGATTTATGTTGACATCTTATTGTATTCTCTCAACAGTGATTGCTCTGCTAGTGTTAAGAGAATTGTGTACTTCCCTTGTGTTCTAAACCACCGGCCATGTTTTCGTAGGAACTCAAAATCATGCATGTGTGTGTGCGCGCACACACACACCAACACCAATAACAACAAGAAAGCAATAAATATACTTATCTCCAAGACTAGATAATTATGGAAACAGACAACTGTCCTTGAGGAAAGACAAATAAATAAGAATTCAACATCTATATGCATTCTTGTACTATTTGTTGTATTGTAATAATGCCAAGTAATCCTATTTTCTGTATCCAGCATCTATTACCTTCTGATCTCAGAATTTTCTACATGCTTCAGCACCATTCATAATCAAAGCCTTTCAAATTAGACACCATTCTTTATGCTTGTAACATTCTCAGTCCTAAGAGCCTCTGATTCAATATCTATCCAACACGTCCCGTCCTATTAGAGGTCATGTATCTCTAATTCTTCACACAATAGACTAACGGTTTGTACCTAGTTGTTTTAAAGAACTCCACTTGACAATTTGCAGGGCCTCAATATTTCCATTTTGCCTTCAGAAACATTCATCTGTTAAATTTATATTGAAAACCCCTTACTTCAGTCACCAGTAGAAATTTTTAAGATGTCTCATACATGGCATTTTAATAGAAGAAACAATAGCATATATTTACTTATACTAAGAATTATATAAATAAAACATAAATTTTAATTTTTCTTCATCCATCCCAAACTAGTTAGATTCAGAGACTCCAGAGTTTAGAAAGACATGTACAACTTATTATTTCTTATTCAAAACAAACTTATCACTCAGAATCTGACATGTGAACATGACGGAGTTAAGCAACAACCTCAGAACCCTAAATATCCTCACAAACACCCAGGAATTTTTCTCTGAGCCCAGAACATTATGGTATTTAAATTGACTACTGTTGTCAACATGATGGGAGGATGATATAATCATAGGTATGCAAGTATAATCATGTTATTCACTTTCAAATAGATCATTGTCATTAAACAAAGTCATTACTCAGTCATGATTAAATAGTATATAGATTAACTTCTCTTCTAACAAGTTTAAAATCTGCAATCCAAACAGGTTTTGTGGCATGTACACACTACAAAAAGCAACTTAATATGTTTACATGCAGGAAAGCCTGCAAGGTGACTTTGACATTGGAAATCATCTTAAAACTGACTTACGCAACTCAGTGACTTGGATCAGGCATTTACTTTCTGTATTTGAATTTAAATTAAAAAGGAAGAAATTTTTATGCAATCTAAGAAAGCAGTAGTTGCAAAGACCATGTTCTACTTTCAAACTCTAGTCCAAAAAGGTTCGTATACAATTTCAGTTATACTGCCTACTGCATGTCAAAGAACACATTATTAACTGTATTCAACAAGAGATAGGTGAACAACGCAAACATGTACATATGGAAACAGAGAGATAAAAAGAACTCAGTACCTTTGAGAAAAACAAACTTGCATGTGATTTATTTGGTGAATCAGAAAGAGTTTTTTGCTTTAAATTTATGGCTGCGCTTTAAGTTCTATTGATTGAAAAAGCTGAAGATCTACAAGTAGGATATCCATTGAACTTCTCCACAACAAGAGGTTCAGTAAGCAGATATGCCTAAAAACTAGGGATTAGTTCCCTCATAAGCTTCTGCTGACATCTTCAAAACAATAGTCACTGAAATGGAGCATACCATACAATGAAAGAAATTGATGCATCTTTCATCTAGTCATTTTTACAAAGAACAACTATCTATAGCTAGGCTTATTCCATCTATAAAAAATTCTAGTATTTGGGCTGCATGTTACGCTGAAAGCTTTAAATAAGAAATTTTAAAAAAATGCAGCTCATTACCTAACCTTTTTGATAAAGTTCCAAACTATTTTGCACAGAGGGACTTGCCCAGCTGATGATTCAAACCTTGTCTTCTTTTTCTTCTTAACTTTTATATCATATAATCTAGGGTGATCTTAAAATTTTATGTTGTATCATTGAAGCACATACATCTTGCTATTGCTTCTAGTAAATACACTCTCACTTCCTATGTTGCACAGGTACTGTGATGAATCTGTACTTATCTCGACACGTATCACACACATAGCGGATCCCGACACTAACTTGGAAACTCCTTGAATATATATACATACATTTATAAAGACGTATGCAATCATTTACTACATGTTTTGATTTAAAATACTCATCATATGCTTCTTGGATGTTATCCTACATTTCACATTCACTTCCTGAAACTTGTTGGACATGTGTTGGCATGTGTTGGGTTAGTTTAAGCCTACATCCAGTTTGTAACTGATATTTTAAGGTATTTACTATTTACTTAAAGCCACATATAGTTACTGATCACGCTCTATGAGGAGCCTTGAAGCTCAAATAACCGTTAAAACAGAAAGTATCACACTTTCAAGAATTTTACCTCTGTTCATAAATAGCTTTAATCCTTCCAAACATCAAACACTTCCTCCTGTCATGATGCCATCTATGTATATGATTATTCATCGAATCATTGTCATCTGAGACTCTTTTTCTTAAGACACAACTTGGGGCACTATAGTTATCAGTGCATATACTCTTTCTTTTTATTCTTAACAACATGCTTTTGTCATTTATCTTCGACGTGTCACAAGTTCCTCATTAAATGAGTATGTTTGTGTCATACAAGATATTTTGCTCCTGGTTCTAAAATTAAATATGACAGAACATACAGAGCAATGCTATAGAAGCTAAGCATTCTCAAGTAAGTTTCAAACTCAATGCCTGATCTTAAATATTAATATGTAATAATTGGTTTTGTATAAAGAAAAAAATTATATTTCCATAGTTCAATTTTATTATTTATGATTATAGAGCTACATCATTTATCCTTATCTTGGTTATCTATGACAAAAGATTATAATCTGAGTATAACCAAGTGCAGAAAAATGTTCTTTCTCTAACAAATGCACACGGCAGCAACATGAAATCCCACAGCTATATCCATACAGCAACATGCACACTATTAGACATTATTCTTACACTTTGGATCAAGAACTTATGTACAACTCAGCTATTTTCAGATTTTTCAAATATTCACGTGTATGTCATTCTCCTCCCTCTATAAATGAACTATATATGACGAATTCAAACTCAATAGTCATTAACAATAGCAATATTTCACATATGCTTCTAGTACACCCTTGGTCCCTTTAGCATAGCGGCATATGTTGTCTCCACATACAACTGTCCAGATAATATTTTGGTTCTTACATATCATTTCTTATTTATGTTTACTTCTTGTTTTCTCTTTCTTTATTTTTTTGTTAAAGGTTCTTACATTTTATTTACAATTTTTTTTAATTTTCTCGTATATATTGGCATGAGCAGGCTACATGAGAACACAAAAGACCCTGTGAAAATGACATACAATATGAGGACTAGAAAGCTTAAGGATGATGTTGCACAGACCTCCTTTGGAGGATTACCTATAAGAAAGCACATTGTCACATCAAACTGATAAAGTAACTTCAGAGGTTTAAATCACAAAAACTTCATCAATTTGCATATGGCTTTGGTTACTTTAAAAAAAAAAGGATACACTTGCATATGGAGCTTTTTTTTTTTTTTGAGTTGTGCTGTATAACACCCACAGTTTGATTGGAAAGTCTTAGATACGTAAACTGTAATGAACGATATCCAAACAATTGCAAGCAATGGAACAAACAGTCAACTTAAAGACGACTGAATGTCTCCTTGTAATTGAAAAATGTTTGATAACACTTCCATTGTTAAGTTGTATGTCAATGATATATACCAAGCCAACTTACTCTACCCTCCTAAACATGTACACCGTCTTCACATGTGGGTGGCAAGTCAACATAAATACTTATGTAAACCCGCAGCCTCTAGAAAACTGGTATTCTCTATGTTGCATGGATACTTCAGTATAGGTGATATACATGTATACAATACATATCTATTTAGGGACTCTGATACTTGATGGATACACAATGGATTCTCTTATGACATATCTAAAAAAAATTAAGGTATTTTGGACCTATCAAAGATAAATAAAAGTTGTAGCTGAGAGTAAGTAGTTAAAAACTCGATTTCATTTGAGTTATAGAAACACTAAATTTTCCTCTCCTTATGATTTCTCTCATAAGTACCAATTTATATAAAATGATATTTTTATATTGCTTGAGCTATTGTATTTTCTCAATTATTATAACCTTATAAACTTATGCTGTGCATAAATGATGTTAATTTGCACGTATGATTTTGTCAATGTTATATCAAAATGTATTTGTACCCTGGATTTTAAGGATTCGACGCATCTATGTACCTGTATTATTTTGTATCTGTGTCATATACCTGTACAAATGCAATGTAGGGTGTTCTTGCATACTATGTAACGAGAAAAGAAAAGAGAGAAGCCTATGGAACTTTTATTCTTCAGTATTACAGTTTCATCTGGTGGTAATATACTTAAATATTTTGAATCATTCCATTATAGTCGGTGCAATCCAGCAAAGCCCATTATTACATGCAAGCGTAAACCTTTTGCCCCACCATTACTTGTTTTCAATACTTCATTAGATAAAGCAGTTGAACATACTAATTCAACTTTCACCGAAAAACATTTACTCTCTCTATTTTTTCTCTCTCACTCTTCTATATAAGAAGTTGTTTCTGGGATGATATTTCCTTAAGGATTTGGAGCCCTATTTATAGTTTTTTGAAAAACACTATGCACAATAAAATATTAATATTTTATTATGCATAGTGTTTTTCAAAAAAACTATAAATAGGGCTCCAAATCCTTAAGGAAATCTCATCCCAGAAACAACTTCTTATAGAGAAGAGTGAGAGAGAAAAAATAGAGAGAGTTTCTCCTTGAAAAGAGAAAGAGTTTGTAACTCCAGAGTTTTCTCCTCATAGTAGATTCTTCTATCCTTGCCCGTGGACGTAGGCAATCAAGTGCCGAACCACGTAAATCTATGTGTCTATCATTTTATCTCTACTTTTGCTTTTCTATTGCTGCGACTCTGCTCTATTGGGCCCCGGGTTTGTCCCAACACATACTAATTCAACTTTCACCGAAAAACATTTATATATCTTAATTGATATATTGATTTTATTTTTCCAGCTTAAGTCTAAGTATTTGCATCCTTCTCATATTTGTTGCTGCCTGTTGCTTTTTTGAACTATGGTAATATTCAGTTGACAAATTCTGAATTCATCCTACCTCTTCTTTCAAATTTTCTTTCTATTTTGAGAAAAACCTCTTTAACTGACCTTCACATATGCAAGACAGCCGCTGTTTTAATGCGCTAAATTCAGTTGAATATCTTGCTATCTTTCAGTGGTTAATTCTCCCTGTCATTTTGGATTTAAACTAGAACCCTGCAAACCACAAACTCAAGTCTTAGTGATCTATTATTTTCATTTGTCATCCCTTCTAAAGCTGAAAACTCCATCAGGTTTATATTTTTGTCTGCTAAATTGATCTCCATCATTTTTCTGGCAGACCTATTGATACAATGCAGTATTGATATCACATTATTTCTGTTTATAATTATTGACTTCAGTAACCTCTGTCTGCCCAAAGTTTATTCAAGGATTTTGCATGTAGCACTCTCAAGTCCGCTATTAAACTATATATACATCTCCCAGGAAAAAAAATATGCCAATAATAATGGTTCAATACGGCTGTTTCAAAAATCATATTTGTGGTTCAATCAGAGTTCCATACAATCTTCCAACTACGGCACAGGCACATTTACCCATTTAGGTACTGAAGACTCAAGAGATCCATGGGACAAATGGCAATGGGCCTAAAACTGGTTAAATGGTAGCCCTAACTTACCATCTATGTACAGAGAGAGACAGATTCTCTACATTTAACCGAGACGAACAAATTGGGAACTTTGTTGGTAGACCGGATTCAATAGAACATGAGATTGCTCAATAGAACATAATCTCTTTCTTCTCCCACATTGTATGTGTGACACACAAGATCTTCAAGATTAAGTCATCTAGAATAACCTAAGCAACATGAATCGCAAAGGAAATTAGTGTCCACCGAGTTACAATTCGCGAGAAAGTAATGCGATTATAGGAAATTATCTCCTCAGTACAAATAAGGAAAGCTAGTTCGCCCCGTAAAGCCATAAATCTATCGAAACTAGAGCCACGAAACACAAATTACAGCAATAATTATCTACATTATACGCTAAGAACGGCAGATTCATGCCCTAGAGACCTCCCCTATGTCCCCATGTCATGTTCCAAAATTAACAAAGAGGGTAACCCCTAAATGGCACCTAAATCATCAAACCCATGTCATAATTTTTATCCCCTTTTCCAATCCAATCATAACAACCTAAGTTTCAATCATGTACCAGTACCCCCACTTCATCCAAATGGAGTTAGGTTATCTAAACACATAGCAATGGTCACAGCTCACTCTAAATTAGCAAGCAGATCAAGTACAACATGAGAGACAACCCCGAATCAACATCAAACACAATCTTGCCCAAGACCCAATAGCATTAACCTCGTATTTAACCCAAAAACACAGCGACCCATGAAGCAGAATCCACATCAGATGGCGGAGACACAAGCAACAAGCTCAGCAAAGGAATTAACAAGAGAGAAGCAAAACCTGCAATCCTCTTCGAGAACTCATCCCACCAGTCCCCAGGCGTGGGCCCAGGCGCCATGGCGGCCTCTCTGTCTGCTCTCTTCTCGACCCTCCTCCTCTTCCTCTGACCCCTGATGGGACCCATGATCAAGCACGAATCTTGATGCACGGAGAGGGAGAATGGCGTGGCCTCTGTTGGCGTTCAGAGTTCGTAGCATGCAAGAGAGAGAGAGAGAGAGAGAGAGAGAGAGAGAGAGAGAGGAGTTTAAAAGGACTTGAAGTGGTTAATAATAAGGGGAGAAACAAAGAAGAAAGAAAATAGAGAGAGGGAGAGAGAGAGGAGAGAAGAGTATCCGTATCTTAATGAGGACATGTGGGTTTTATTAGACAAAAAATACAATGCAGCAAATATAGGAACGAGTGGTAATTTTAAGGACTAGGATCCTCTCCTCATGAAAAGTTCCTGATATCTCCTCATGAGGAAATCCTGACCTTTCATTTTGTTCATGACCTTTCATTTTACCACCCATCCTTGTGGGCCCCCCTCCCAACTCTTCCCTCTCCTCATGAGGAGATATTAGGATGAGGAGAGGATCCTAAGTCTAATTTTAACAGGGAGCAAGGTCGTCTTCTTCTTCTTCTTCTTTTACCCCTTCTTTTTTCTTTTTTCCCTTTTCCCCCCTTCAATATTTTTTTTTCTTAATTTGGACTTTGGGTCTTAGTGTCGTTTTATGAGAGAGTAGCAAACAAAAGTAGTTATGTCCATTCAAGTCCTCGCCTCTTGGCCAGTGTATTGTTGGCGCGGTAGATATTCAGGTTTTTACGGTCCGTATCTTCGACATATTTAGCTATTTATTTACATCATCATCGTGATTTTCTTTGCTTAATAGAGAGAAATATCAATTACGAAAAGACCTAAAAGGATTTGAAGTGACCAATGTAACAAATATGAAAACAAATGGCAAAATTAATAGCAAGGACTTTCCCTTCTTTTCTTTTTTTTTTCTTTTTTTTTTTTTTTTTTTTTCTTTTTAGTTTTAGTATTTGCGTTACATGTTGAAAGAAAGAAAGGGATGTGGCTTAAAAGTAGGTGTAGGTGTTAAAGCCTAGGGAAGCACCACCAAAAGGCTCAGCATTCTAAGTTTCAAATCATAGGAGAGGATTATCTAATTCAATTGTTGCTTCTCTAGAGGAATTGATGATATATCATATTAAGTCAATTTCATCAAAGTCCCCACTTGGTCCTTCTGCCTCCTCTCTATAAAGAAAATATATTATCATCCTCATAAATTCTAGGCCTACTATATGTGGATAAAAGTGTTGGGTTCGAGGAAACACCAAGTCGCCGAGAGAGAAGGCCACACACAATCAAAATAACGGTACAAACACAAACAAACGAATTTTACGTGATTCGGCAAGTTGCCTATGTCCACGGGGCAAGGAGGGGGGGGGGGGTTACTATTAGAGAGAAAGAGAATACAACTAGGGTTTACAATCTCACAAAATCTCACAAATAAACCCTCAAACAAAGCTCTCATATCTCTAACCAATTTTCCCTCAAAGGATGCACAAACCCCCTCTTAATGGCTGCTCAAATTCGTCTCATCAAACCCTAGAATCGTGTGTTTCTATTTATAACAAAATCAATCCTAAATAATGTAGGAATCTGAAAACGAATTTGCCACACCCGGGTGTGGCACGCACCACACCCCTGAAAACAGGGCAGATTCTGCCACACCTGGGTGTGGCAAACACCACACCCCTGACAATAGGGGCAGATTATGCCACACCTGGGTGTGGCAGACACCACACCCCTGTCGAATCTTCATGTTTGCCAACACTTTGAACAATTTGACGCCGTCTTCTACAATTCTCCACCTCAGCGAAGTGTTCCTAAAACTGAGCCGACACCAATACCAACCAAATATCCTACTTGTTACGTTCAGTACGAAGTGGAATCAATCCACGACAACGAACTCAATCCATAACAAGTTAGGAACCCAAATGAGAATGCGAACAATCTCCACCATGTCGGTATCAACTCATCAAACCGGCTGCATCAAAATGACTGCCTACGTATCCTCTTGCCCAAGGAATTAAGCCTCGCGTAGTTCATCCAAATGGCCGCAAACGACCTCAATCAACTAGAAGAATTCTCAATCCTTCACCAACCTTTCGATCATCAACACTAACTAATCTGCAGCTGATCACGCCCCTGTTGGCCTCAAAGTGAAAAGACAAACTCTTTTCCAAACTTGCATCTCTCCCCACCAACTCTGTCTTAGAGCTTAACCCTGTTAGACCCTAATGCCACTAAGAAAGAACCCTAGAGGAGGGTGAATAGGGTTTATGCTAATCTAATCCGATTTAATACCAATTAAAACTAATTAACAAATATTATAGCAAATTAGATATGCAACAAGATATATATGCAAGGATATACAAATAAGGGTAAGTAAACAAATACAAATAATATAGTGGATAAATTAGACAATGAGAGAATGGCGATAGAGATAAACAAAATATAAGTGCACAAGCCAAACTCAAACACATTAGAAATGATCACGGAGTTTGGACCTTCCGTCTTACGTCTCCGCTCCCCACTCCCGGGGAGAAATCCACTATCACACCAGGTTTTTGATGCTCACCCGAAAACGTTTACACCATACAATATCGGTTTTTAACGCTCACCGATCAACGTTCACAAACACTCACAATACAACTACACAATACCACCTCAAGTGTTGGCCTCTCACGTGTCTCCCTCAAGTACGTGCTCGGAATTACTACCTCTCATTAGGCTTTATTACTACTGACGCCACTCCTCTTAGGATCGACCATGTCTCTCACCTCTACACTCCTCTTAGTGTACATGTGCAATATAAAGTGAACCTCACAATATAGCTCAACAACAAATGAATGTTCTCTATACAAGGTGAGAACTCAATTAAGCTCAACTCTATATTACAATCTCATAACCTCAAATATACTATGTATGAGAATACTAAAAGCTCAATGTGGGTGTGTGTAACAAAGAGATAAAACAAATATAAACTCAATTGAAATCTAGCTTATGAAAATTAAGATTAAACATATAAACTGCTAGAATTGAGTTTAAGAAGAACTTCTCTATATAACAAGAGTAGGAGAGATAAAGTTGAAGCCCAAAACACAATTGATGATCTCCTCAAGCTCTTGTGAAAATTTATTCACAAACCAAACTTTTAAACACACTTTAAAACCTTAAACAAACTTGTAAAAACTCTTTAAAACTTTTCTCTTGTGTATATTAGATCTGAGGTATGAGGGGTACATATAGGAAACCCCAAAGCCAAGAAGAAACCAAGAAAACCCACCAAGAAGATAAAAAACAGAAGTTAGAAAAACTAGCCGTTAGGCCATCAATCGACTGATACTGTTATCGGTCGACTGATGAGCTGACCGTTAGAGTCAGCCCAACACCTCATCGGTCGACTGATGATCTCATCAGTCGAATGATAGCTTATTAGTCGTAAAAATAGAAACTTTTATAATTCCAGGCGAGTTCATCAGTCGACTAATAAACTCCATCAGTCGACTGATAACAAGTTATCAGCCTGATTAAAACAGTAAATCTGATTTTTGAAGTGCTTTTAAAAATAGCAAATAAATTTTAAAAAATGTAAAACTTTAGAAAGTGATTGTAAACATGATAATAAATATGTTACAAAAAAGTATTTTTGGAATTGCACTTCTCAATAGTGAAAACTCATTATTTTTCAAAATAGTCCAAAACATGAAAATGAATGATACTTGTTTTTGACATTTTAGTTAACTATGTTTTGAAACTTTATAAAATGATTATATAGAGTTAATAAAAGATGTATATAATGATTATTAAGTCCATAAATTAATAACTCAATATTTTCACAAAAATGCATGTTATGCAAACATTCAAAACAATAAACATGATTTCATTGAACTAAATAAACTTGATATTGATGAAATCATATACAAGCATATAAACATGAAATAAATATGTATTTTCCAATTATATTCATTTGTTTTATATTTAAAATTAAAAACTATAAAACTAAAACTAACCCCGTTTCAGCGAATGGAGGGGTTTTTTTGAAAAAAAACCTCCGACAACTGACTTCGAAATGGTGTCGTACTTGGGGATTGAAAGCGGGGGCTTTTTTGCAAAATGTCACCGAAAGCAACGGGGTTAAATCCCTCTCGTGACCACTCTCGTTATCCCCAAAATCAAATCCCCATCACCGACTTCCCCCAAATCCATCCCCGTCACCCCGACCGCGACCAGGCCACGGCACTGACAACGTTGTAGCTGAGGTCTGAGAGGACAGCACATACATCGGAGAGGAGGCCCGGGTGATCGGTGTAGGTGAGCTCGATGGAGGTGTGATCCTTGGAGGGCACAACGCCGACCCCATCACCGCCAGCCGCGACATCCCAATCACTGACAATATCCCCCGCTTTCGACAACCACATCACCGCCGGCCGCGAGATATATAAACAAAAATGTGTATGTGTGCATGTGATTAAGCTTGAAGTATCTACACACAAGTATAAACCTAAAACTAAATTACCCAAGCTTGATTGATCTTCAATATGGTTATCTTGGATGTGGATGAAGCTTAATCTTGAATATGGCTTGATGTACAATGGCTTCATACCGATATTCTGCCAACCTCTATTTGATGTGATTGTTATGGCGCAATTCCATCCAACCTCCGACACATTATTTACCTAGAATAAATAAGAAAACACAAACATTAGACAAACAATATTAGTTGTAAATTGTTTATAAAGTGATACTACCAGACCAACTATCCAATGGAGTTTTACCTCCAATTACAGCAGAAAACAACCTGTAAATAAGATGGCTCGAATATGTTAAAGCCTCAACCCAGAACCTCTTTTGCAAACTTCTGCTTGATAACAAACATCGTTCCTTCTCTAGTAAGGCACGGTTCTTCAAATTTGCCACCCCATCTAGTTACCCCAAGATTTTCCTTTCATCGAAGTGTCTCAAAATGCCCCGAGCACAGCACAAATACAGAAACAATTCCTTCTTGTACTTCCTACCAAAATAAGAATGACATACTTTGCCTTTATGTCTGTCTTAGTCTCTATACACTTCTTCCACCAGTTGAAGACTACTATAACTTTACTCAAACAGGACTTGGTTGCAACCCAAACATACCTAGAATAGTCATCAACAAAGAAAACCAGATATCTATTGCCTCTCAATGAGGCCTCTTTGGAAGGCCCCTAAACGCCCACATGAACTCCATCTTGAAGGCCCTTAGCTCGGTGAATAGAGGTGTCAAACTTTACCTTGGTCTTCTTGCTCACATCAAAATGTTCACTGGACTTCAAACTGTAGGTCAATGCACCTTTCTCCAAATCAATACTGGAATGGCCCGGCCTCAAATGCCCCAGTCTAGTCGAATTAATAGAAGTCGCCAGCTCTTCACCTATCACCATACTTCCAGTCAAGTAGTACAAGTTACTCCTCCTGACATTCTTCATCACAATACGAGAGCATCTCACAATCTCGAGAACCACGTCCTCAATACGAACTTTCAGACCTTCTCCAGCTAAAGCTCCAATCGAGATCAGGTTCTTCCTCAATGAAGGAACATATCTCACACCATGTAACTCACTAACTATCTCATCATACATCTTGATGCAAATTTTACTTATCCCAAAGAATTAGCATGCACGATCATCACCCATGTACACCACACCACTATTCAACTTCTCAAAACTGGAAAACCATTCCCTTTTAGGGCATATATGATAGGTTGCACCACTATCCAACATCCACTCGAATACTTCTGAATAGCAAACTATAGAACTGATAGAAAGCAAAAAAAATAGATGAGTCAGAAATATTATCATTCGATTCGATGATGTTTGCTTCTGATGATGGTTATTTTTATTTTCCCTTTTGCTTGTTCTTTATCCATTCGCTGAGCTTTAAACAATCTTTCTTCCAATGACCAGTCTCTTTACACCAAACACACTGATATTTGTTAACTGTAGGATGTCCTACTCTAGACCGTGACTTCCAATTCTTTCGGTTTGGACTTTTTTCCTCTTGCGGACAATGTCTCTGCTATTGTGTCATTTGAAGACTCCTTATCTTTCTTCCTTAGCTGATAATTCACAAGAGCAGTGGTAACCTCACTATATGAAAGGGACACATTCCCATTGTTTAGGGTAAAAACGAAGGTCTTATATTCCTCATATGATAAGGAACTCAACAACAACAATGCATTGTCCTCATCCTCGATCATAACATCCACATTCGCCAAATCTGCAAGAAGCTTCGTATAGTTGTTCATGTGATCACCAATTAAGATTCCCTTCTTCAACTAAAAACGATAAAGTCTCCTCTTCAAATGCAAGTGATTTTTAACACTCTTTGTCAAATACTTACTTTCTAGAATCCCCCAAATCTTCTTTGCCAAAGTCTTATTGATCACATCATACTTTAGATCTTACATTAGACAAGACCTAATCACACCACACGCCGTTTGATTTATCTTTTACCAAATCTTTTCTTCAATATCATCCGGTTTGCTATCCAATTCCAAAGTATCCTCCAAATTTTGCATGTTCAGCGTATCCAAAACCTCACATCTCCACAATCTAAAATTGTTCGTACCATTAAACTTCTTCACATCTATCTTCATAGAGTAGATATTCAAACTTTGAATGGTCTTCACGTCAGAAAAACCACTCTCAACACCTTCTTTTCCAGCCATCTTTCTCAAAACACCAACAAACCAATGCGGAACAAACTGAAAGATAGATCTAAACTGCGAGAAAGGTAGATTTTTACCTTCAACTGAAATCCTAATAAGAGCTTCCAAAAGATCTCACCCCCACACGATGGAAGACAAGATCCACAATAGTAAAAATCTCACTTTTATCTCTAATTGAAACCCTAGACGAGCTTCCAAAGTGATCTACTCCTCCACCTAATCTCAAGCGTAGCCTGCGCTCTGATACCACCTGTTGGGGTCCGGGAAATACCAAGTCGCCGAGAGAGAATGCCACACACAATTAAAATAACAGCACAAACATAAACAAACGAATTTTACGTGGTTCGGCAAGTTGCCTACGTCCACGATACAAGGATTGAGAGTTTTTACTATTAGAGAGAAAGAGAATATAACTAAGGTTTACAATCTCACAAAATCTCACAAATAAACCCTCAAACAAAGCTCTCAAATCTCTCACTAATTCTCCCTCAAAGGATGCACAAAACCCTCTCAATGGCTGCTCAAATTCGTCTCATCAAACCCTAGAAACGTGTGTTTCTATTTATAATAAACTCAATCCTAAACAATGTAGGAATATGAAAACGAGTCTGTCACACCCGGGTGTGGTACGCACCACACCCCTAAAAACATGGTAGATTATGTCACATCTGGGTATGGCAGATACCACACCCCTGACAATAGGGGTAGATTCTATCACACCTGGTTGTGGCAGACACTACACCCCTGACAATAGGGGCAGATTCTATCACACCTGGGTGTGGCAGACACCACACCCTGCCGAATCTTCATGTTTGCCAACACTTTGGCAGACACCACACCCTGCCGAATCTTCATGTTTGCCAACACTTTGAACAATTTGACGTCGTTTTCTACAAAAAGATGGAGGGTAAATTTAGAATTCTCGCGTAAGACGTAAAGATGTCTTACAACGAGCATAAGGCATTGTCATAACGTTTAAATAGTGAACAAGTGTTAAGGCATGAGAAGTGAGAGAAGTGAATATCTTGATACAAATTTCTTTTTAGAACATTTCCCCCATATTTTTTCAATCATAAAATGATCATTTAGCACCCTGATAAAATAAAATAATTGCTAGCTCATAGTATATCTTAAGGTTAAGTTGCATAGTATATCTTAAGGTTAAGTAGATGAAATTCTTTTTTGTAGTTAAAAGAGCAAGATCCAAATAGTCGAGTCGGCAGTTCTAACATAGATGTGGAGAGAAACAGTCAGATTTAGGTTACAAGTGTAAGTTAGATGTGAGAGAAAAGTGTGAAGTAACAAAAATGCCCTTGTATTGTACAAACACATATAGGCTGTGTTATTCAATTTGGTTGCATTTAATTAGACCCGAAAGTTTAACTTAGTCTAATCCTCAGATTTTAATATGATGAAGTTATATATCTAAATTCTTTATTTGTTTTTAAAAAATTGCATTTGATAAGTGGTAGATCCAGAATTTTTTGAAAAGTGGTGTTACACATATAATTAATAATCTAAAAAAATTACAATCAACCCCGAAAATTTTTCATATTTTAAGAAAAATACATAATAATGTTATTAGTAACACTATAAATACATAATCACATTGTAGTAATTTGAACATGTATATATGGTATACAAGGAACCTCCTGGAGTAGAATGATCAGAAGAGTGCATAAGATAAACAATGGAAATAGTAAAAAAACAAAAGCAAAGACAAATTAAGAACATCAAAGTTTACTTTGTTCGATATTGTGAACAATGTTCACATGCGAGGAGGAGAAGAGATATTTCACCGTGACAAAATCAAAGTACAAAGATAAGAATAGGTCTTACAATTAATGACGATGCCCATCATCTTAATTAAGTTATCCCCTCACCTAATAAACCAAGAGGAAAAAAAAACACTTTTTAATCTTCAACTCGTAAAACTTGGATATATCTCAAATGGGTATCACAAGTTATAAGGACCTATATAGAAATCAAGTCGTTAATGGCTAATTTCATTCAAATAGCACTTATATTAGACCTAATTAGGTCTAAACTTAACAATCACATGCACAAATACAATTGACATAGAGGCAAAGTTAATATCTTTAATGATATGGATACAATAAGTACTTCTTATATAGCTCAACTCTGAAAACTCATTTAAATTTTGTAGAGAAGGGCAACATTAGTTTGAAGGGTATCCTAGTCATTTCATTTACAAGGTCAAGGAGTCAACGTTGTGTTTCATGAGTTTCCCAATTGCAGCACGCAAGTCACGTGCAGCGCACCAGGCAGTGAAGCGTGCATCCCGCATCACCTTCACTGCGTCAAATCATCCGGGAATTTAAAAACCCACAAGCTCACCCAGTCACTGTAAGGTAGGACCCCGGTGCACCGAGCGAGTGCCCGAACTGTACACAGTATAGTTTCTCCTAGTTCGCGCTTATGTACCCCTCATTTGTTTCGGGCATCACTTCTTTATCCTAAAAGTTGAACTTTAATTAGTGCTTCCGTCATACAAATATGATAATTTTCCTTGAATTTTCTCATTGTAACGTTTATAAGCCAATTTTATAACATTTAATTCTTAGTTTTTATTAAAATTTACTATGAAATACCATTCTGATTTAAAACTTTCCATTAATTATATTTTAAAATAGAATTACGATGGATTTTAATGGTAAGTTCAACAAACACTCATGCTACAAAGTTATAAATTTAGCTTATGAGTGTTACATGAGAAAAATTAAGGAAAATTTCTATATTTGCATAACAAAAATATTAAAGTGTAGCTTTTCAGAAACCTTCCGTATATAAATGTTGCTAAAAATAAATAAGTTATATAAGTGCAAAATGGGGGGAACTATAGGTTTCAAATTTTAGAAGCTCAACATTGGGCTGAGACTGTTGGCTCAGAACGAGAACTTCATACTAGTGGGCTCCTACGTGGAAAACAAAAGAATTTAGTGGCATAAAAAAAAGAAAAATTCCTCAAGGACCCAAAATATAGGATCAATAGGGGGGACAAGTGAGGTGTCCCCCTCCTATTGGATAATGAGTTGACAATTATTAATGATGACCAACTCATTATCCAATAGGAGGGGGACACCTCACTTATCTCCCTTATTGGTCCTATATTTTGAGTCCCTGTAGCAAAGCTCAAAAAAAAAATCTCAAATAATAAATGTTGAGGTTATTATGCAATATCATCAAAGTGTAGGACTTAAATGCAACTACCCAAGCTGGAGTAGATGAGTGAGCGCTGTCCATTCCTCATTCGTTCTCTGAGTCTCTGCCATTAGAATGGCTCGACCTTCGATGCTCTATCTCTTCTCCTACAACTCGCCTTCACTATCTTTTGGATGGTCTCTCTCTTTCTCTCTCCTGCTACTCCTCTCTTTCCCTCTCTAAAATTTCCTAAAACTTGGTGTGGTTTTCTTTTTCCCTCTCTCTCTCTCTCTCTACAGGTCACTTGCTCTTTGCAAAATCGTGGGCAATCTCATAACAACAAGTTCAATCGATGGAACCTACGCCTCCGCTGGAGATCTCATCTGTAACCCATTTCAAATTTCAGCCCATTTCTTATAATCCCTCTTTATTTCTTCATGTTTTATTTTAAAGTTTTTATTTTTATTTTTGGGTTTTTTTTATTAAGGTATTTTGCAAACAATTTCATTCTTGGAAGTTATGCATGCTGCCATTGGTAGGCTTTCTCTTTCTTGTTTATTAATTCAATTCTTTTTTGTTATCCGCAAATGTTTAATTGTATGAAATTGGGCATTGTTAGGCTTGGTTCCCAGTGGGGTATTGCTAGCTTTGATGCAATGGGGAGGGAGGACTCACTTCTTGCTGGCAATTGTTCGACAAATTGTCGAGGTGAATATATTTAGTAAAAGTTTTCACATTTAGTATTTCTAGCATTTTCCCCCCTCCTCCTCAATACATGAAAATTTTTGTTTAAAATTTACCAGCTTGCTTATGTTAGAGAAAAATTGGTCATGCAGGTGCAAGAACTCCCGTCAGTTTTCATAACCTTTATGTCCTGGAGCATATCTGAGGTGTGTTGCATTCTTATCATGTTTTTCCCCCATTGAGGACTAATTATCGTCACGTGTAAGGCTTTGCTAATTGAAAAACTATTTTGGAGAAAGAGACCTGAGCCTGAGTTTATTGATAGGGATGATGAGGTGATTCTTGTCGATAACTCTGTATGACCGAAATGGTTTTCGTGAACTTAGATCAATGTGATGTTTAATATGATGGGTCTATTCCAGTTGGTATACCTCTCATTGTGCTTATCCATGTATTTAACTTTATCCAAGTGTTTTAAGAGTCACTATATATTCGATTTTTCATCTATAAATTTATTTGGAGGCATCTCCCTATTTTCATACTTATACGGTGCATAATATTAAAATAACATGCTTTACTTAATTCTACCCTCTCATCACCTGCTCCACGGAATGAGATCATATATCTTGTAAAAAGTCAAGATAATGTTCAAAATTTGACGATTTTATGCTTACTTAAAGCCTGCATAAATTTTTGTAACACATCCAATATATTATTGTTAGATCTACATCATAAAAACTTGAGATCTAAAACCATATAGCCATGATTAATTCAAAGAGATTAACAAGGATCTAAAAGAGCGGAAGCTTATACCTGAATCCATTGCTTGATCTTGATTTTGGGTTTTGGATCTTCTAACCTTAGGGTTTTCTCTTTTAGCCGAATTTCTCTAGCTAGATGGGGGTGTAGAGAATTAGAGAATGTAACCCTAGGTTAGGGACCATAACCCCTTATTTATAGATGTTGTACTTTTGTAATTTAGCCTCTTAATAAATTACAATTACAACCTGGTATCTGCACATATAACCCCATGACTTATTTAAATACCAAATTAACCCAACTTAATTGATCACTTTAGTGGGTTATCCTGAAAGATAGCAATACACATTGATTAATCATATGTGCCCACAAATAGATTTATTAGATTAAATCCAACAATCTCCCACTTGGGCACCATATGATTCCTTAAATTGTGTATAACCTTATGAGCTCAAAAATTGCTATCACTGAAAAGGTATTTTCGAACAATCTCGTCCATTGACTATATCAATATAGGATCAAAGCGGCCTTCGTCACATTTATCGTGACTCGACCCATCAATGATCACATATACCAATACAATCAAACGACATAGATCAATCATGGATGTGCAGCATGAAAATTACATGCAATGTGATCAGTACATGTCTATTTTCAACTGGTCCTCCTTAGTGAGGTCAAAACCAAACATAATGTAACAGAGTGTCTTAACTGAATACTTTATTCTGATCAGACAATACAACCAAACATAAAGCACCACAAATACAAACTCCCACTAAAACATAATATCCTCAAATAATACCACACCCATATGAGCAGTATGCTCATGAAAGACCTTAGGTGGCAATCCCTTAGTAAGAGGATCAGCTATCATGGAGTTTGTCCCAATGTGCTCTATGGATATCTGTCCACTCTGTACCCTTTCTTTCACAACCAGGAACTTAATGTCAATATGTTTTGACTTAGTTGAGCTCCTGTTGTTATTGGAATACATTACTGCAGATTTATTGTCACAATATAGCCTTAGTGGTCTTTCAACATTTTCCAAAATGCGCAGTCCCGTGACAAAATTTCGCAGCCATATTCCCTGATTGGATGCCTCATAGCAAGCTACAAATTCTGCTGCCATAGTGGAGGAAGCTACTAGTGTTTGTTTGACACTTTTCCATGATATAGCTCCTCCTGCTAACATATAAATGTAGCCTGATGTAGACTTCCTGCTATCTTGGCATCCAGCAAAATCAGAGTCCGAATACCCAATGACCTCTAATTTCTCTGATTTTCTGTATGTGAGCATGTAATCTTTTGTTTTCTGAAGATACCTCATAACCCTTTTGACTGCTATCCAATGATCCATACCAGGGTTGCTTAAGTATCTGCCTAACATCCCAACAATGTACGCAATATCCGGACGCGTACATACCTGAGCATACATTAGACTTCCTACAGCCGAAGCATAAGGAATCTTCTGCATTTCCTGAATTTCAAGGTTACCTTTAGGGCACTGATTGAGACTAAACTTGTCTCCTTTAGCAACAGGGGTGTCACCTGGTCTGCAATCTTGCATGCCAAACCTTTTAAGTACCTTATCGATATAGCTCTTTTGTGATAATCCAAGAATACCCCGAGAGCGATCTCGATGTATCTGGATCCCTAATATAAAAGAGGCGTCCCCAAGATCTTTCATCTCAAAATTCTTTGATAGAAATCTCTTGGTTTCGTGCAACATGCCTATATCATTAGTGGCAAGCAAGATGTCATCCACATACAGAACCAGAAAAATATACTTACTCCCACTGAACTTGTGATATACACAGTCATCAACAATGTTCATCTCAAAACCGAACGAGATAACTATTTGTTGAAACTTATGATACCATTGACGAGGAGCTTGCTTGAGTCCATAGATGGATTTCCTTAATTTGCAGACCATATTCTTTGGGTCTCCCGACACAAAGTTTTCTGGTTGCACCATATAGATCATCTCATCAATGTCTCCATTGAGAAATGCAGTCTTAACATCCATCTGATGTAACTCAAGATCATAATGAGCAACAAGTGCCATGATTATTCTGAAAGAGTCTTTCGATGAAACCGGAGAGAAAGTCTCTGTATAATCAATGCCTTCCTTTTGAGTATAGCCTTTAGCCACAAGACGTGCCTTATACCTCTCCACATTACCGTTTGCATCCCGCTTGGTTTTAAAAATCCATTTACAACCAATTGGTTTTGCACCTTCTGGTAATGGGACAAGTTCCCAAACCTTATTGTCTTGCATAGACTTGTACTCTTCATTCATGGCATCAATCCACTGTTGAGAGTTAGAACTTTTCATGGCCTGAGAGAAGTTGATTGGATCATCTTCTAACATTCCACTACTTTCCTCATGTTCTTGGAGAAATACAATATAATCATCCGGAATAGCATTTCTCCTTTCTCTCGTGGATCTCCTTAATGGCACTGGTTCTTGAGGTTGTTGAGTTTGTTCTTCTGGAACAGGGAGTTGTTCAACATTATCATCTTGAGGTTCCGGATTTACTTCTTGAGCAACAACAGGTATAGGAACCTGAATATTGTCAAAAGTAACTGTATGGATTGGATCTGAAGCCAATTCCTCCTCAAAACTAATGTCTCTAACCTTATTTCTCCCCCCAAACTCAACATCCTCAAAGAATGTTGCTGTTCCCGTCTCAAAAATGTTCCTTATAGTGGGATCATAAAACTTAAAGCCCCTAGAGCGTTCAGAGTATCCAATAAAGTAGCTGCTAACTGTTTTGGAGTCCAATTTCTTTTCATTTGGCCTATAAGGCCTTGCCTCAGCTGGACATCCCCAAATATGTAAATGCTTTAAACTGGGCTTTCGACCAGTCCAAAGCTCATAAGGTGTTTTAGCAACTGCTTTACTTGGTACTCTATTCAGAATGTAAGCTGCTGTCTTAAGTGCTTCTCCCCAGAGTGACTCTGGTAAAGAAGAATGAGCAATCATACTTCTTACCATATCCTTAAGAGTCCTGTTTCGTCTTTCAGCTACACCATTCATGCTAGGTGAACCCGGCATGGTGTACTGTGGGACGATACCGTATTCCTCTAGGTATCTAGCAAATGGTCCTGGACGTTGTTCACCTGAACCATCATATCTACCGTAGTACTCACCACCACGATCAGATCTGACGGTTTTAATTCTTCTGTTGAGTTGATTCTCAACTTCAGCTTTATAGGCTTTGAACATGTCCAGAGACTCAGATTTTTCATGAATAAGATATAGGTGCCCATAACGTGAGTAATCGTCTATGAATGATATAAAATATTGTTGACCATTCCAGGATTCCGTAGGGAATGGCCCACAAATATCCGTATGTATCAATTCTAAGACATCCGAAGATCTGTTGGCACCTAATCTTTTCACTTTGGTCTGTTTTCCCTTGATACATTCAACACATACGTCGAAGTCCGAAAAATCAAGGGAATCCAAAATGCCATCAGACACAAGACGCTCAATTCTACCTTTTGAGATATGACCTAAGCGCTTATGCCATAATGTCGCCGAATTTTCCTTATTTAATTTACGCTTAGTACCACGTGATTCCACATGCAAGGATTCATTGTAAGAAGCAATTGTATCAAGCAAATATAGGTTGTCATAAATACTCAAGTAACCGGTTCCCACAACATTTGAATTAAAAGATAAACTGAATTGACTGTTTCCAAATGAACAAGAATAACCTGATTTGTCCAATACAGAAACAGAAACCAAATTCCGTCTAAAAGACGGTACTACAAAAGTATCTTTTAAATCCAAATAATAACCAGTTCCTAACAACAACCTAAAGTGCCCAATTGCTTCCACATCTACCGATTGTCCGTCGCCCACAAAGATGTGTCTTTCAACATCACTTGGCTTTCGGTAGCTCAGGCAACCCTGCATAGAAACACTTATGTGAGTAGTAGCACCAGAGTCTAACCACCAAGTGTTTCTAGGTACTGAAGCTAAATTAACCTCAGAACAGACCAAAGCAAGGAACGTACCCTTATTATCACGCCAGGCGTGATATTTTGTACAGTCCTTCTTTACATGTCCAGGCTTCTTACAGAAGAAACAACCCTGATTATCCTTATGTTGTTTCTTCTCAACTGGACCCTTAGCAGCTTCCTTATCATTCTTCCTTTTCTTGCCCTTATCCTTAGAGGCATAGGCCAAATGAGCACTTTCTGTCTTATCTTGCTTCAACCTGTCTTCTTCTTGCACACAGTATGAAATGAGCTCATTTAGAGTCCATTTCTCCTTTTGACAGTTATAACTGACCTTAAATTGGTTAAACTGTGCAGGAAGAGACAACAAAACCAGATGCACTAATAACTCGTCACAAAGATCGAGTTTAAGTGCCTTAAGCTTTGAAGCAATATGAGACATTTCCATAATGTACTCCCTGATATTTCCTTTGCCCTTATACTTCATTGAAATCAAGCGAGCTAAAAGCGTGCTTGTTTCTACCTTATCGTTTTTCGCAAAACGCTTCTCAATTTCGGCAAGGAAATCTTTAGCCTTAGTAATCCCTTCGGATTCTATGCCCCTGAAGGCTTCCGGAACGCCGCGCTTAATGATCATAAGACTCATGCGATTTGAACGCTCCCACTTCTCATGCTCCTTCTTTGCATCAGGAGTGCTATCCGCATTGAGAGGTTGGGGTTGTTCAGTTCTTAATGCATAGTCAAGATCCATGCAGCCAAGAACAATTAATATGTTCTCTTTCCAAACCTTGAAGTTTGTCCCATTTAGCATGGGAATTGAGTTGATGTTAGCAGAAATTGTTGCAGCAGATGCATTAGCTGAAATAAAACAAAAGAATGCTCACATCAATAACCATAATCAATAAAATTCAAATAATGACAATCCCCATCCAAGATACCGGCACAACATTAATATCAAGTCTTTGGACAGTAATATTAACTTGTAAGTGATACCTTGTTGCAATGATCAAACATTGACAATAACTCATGTCAAATAATGAAACTATCTTTGGATCGATTCATTATTCACATGTAAACCTTATAATTGTCACACGCTTATCATCGCAGATGTGTATACAGTCTAAATAAATATTAACCTTCCTTTGGGCCGATTAAATATTTACACGAAAGCATACACACAAACATCTCACATTCCTCATGAACAATCTACACAAGAGAGGTTACTTTGGCAACTTCTTGTTTCAATTAATCAATTAGAGTGAGAGACAACCTTAATACCTTAGTGTCATAATATTTGAATTAAATAATTGATTAAAAACCGAATTAGATTTAAATTAAAAAATTTTAATTTAAATCAACTGAATTTCCAAAAATTTAATTGGGGTCTCACAGCTTAATTAGGGCCCATAACTTAATTGAATAAATTAAGTATACCAAAGTGGACCCATGAAAAGCCGAGGCTTAACCATAATGAACACGAAGTTCCCTTAACTTCGAACGCGAGGTTCGACTGTATTGAGTACGAGACTCACTTAAGCACGAACGCGAGGTTCGTTTGAAAATGAACGAACGCGAGGTTCAACTTGGGAACGAACGCGAGGTTCGTTTCGAGGCTCGACTGAAGCACGACCGCGAGGTTCGTCTGAAGTACGAACGCGAGGTTCGTCTGAAGTACGAACGCGAGGTTCGTCTGAAGCACGAACGCGAGGTTCGTCAGAAGCACGAACGTGAGGTTCGACTTGAGAACGAACGCGAGGTTCGTTAAAAATTGAGTTTGACGCTCACCTGAGTTGAACGCGAGGTTCACCTTAGAACGAACGCGAGGTTCGTTGAAATTGAGCTTGACGCTCACCTTAGTTGAACGCGAGGTTCACCTTAGAACGAACGCGAGGTTCATTGAAATTGAGCTTGACGCTCACCATAGTTGAACGCGAGGTTCACCTTAGAACGAACGCGAGGTTCGTTGAGCGCGAAGCTCGGTTAAAATTGAACGAACGCGAGGTTCGTTTGAGGTAACCACCTCCTTAATTTTCGCCATGAACCCTTAGGGTTTCAAACTGAAACCGCCGTTCTAACCTTAGGGTTTCTCTAAATCCGAATTTCTCTAGCTAGATGGGGGTGTAGAGAATTAGAGAATGTAACCCTAGGTTAGGGACCATAACCCCTTATTTATAGATGTTGTACTTTTGTAATTTAGCCCCTCAATAAATCACAATTACAACCTGGTATCTGCACATATAACCCCATGATTATATTTAAATACCCATTAACCCAACTTAATTGATCACTTTAGTGGGTTATCCTGAAAGATAGCAATACACATTGATTAATCATATGTGCCCACAAATAGATTTATTAGATTAAATCCAACAATCTCCCACTTGGGCACCATATGATTCCTTAAATTGTGTATAACCTTATGAGCTCAAAATTGCTATCACTGAAAAGGTATTTCCGAACAATCTCGTCCATTGACTATATCAATATAGGATCAAAGCGGCCTTCGTCACATTTATCGTGACTCGACCCATCAATGGTCACATATACCAATACAATCAAACGACATAGATCAATCATGGATGTGCAGCATGAAAATTACATGCAATGTGATCAGTACATGTCTATTTTCAACTGGTCCTCCTTAGTGAGGTCAAAACCAAACATAATGTAACAGAGTGTCTTAACTGAATACTTTATTCTGATCAGACAATACAACCAAACATAAAGCACCACAATTACAAACTCCCACTAAAACATAATATCCTCAAATAATACCACACCCATATGAGCAGTATGCTCATGAAAGACCTTAGGTGGCAATCCCTTAGTAAGAGGATCAGCTAACATGGAGTTTGTCCCAATGTGCTCTATGGATATCTGTCCACTCTGTACCCTTTCTTTCACAACCAGGAACTTAATGTCAATATGTTTTGACTTAGTTGAGCTCCTGTTGTTATTGGAATACATTACTGCAGTTAAAGATTCAATTTTTTGGGTTCTGATGAACAGTAAAATTTTACTGTTCATCCGAACCCAAAAATTTTACTGTTCATCCGAACCCAAAAAATTAAATCTTTAACCAGAGATTTAAGTTCAAAAAACCCAATAAAACTTAAATCCCTAAGAATTAATCAAGGTGGCTCTGATACCACTTGTTAGATCTACATCATAAAAACTTGAGATCTAAAACCATATAGCCATGATTAATTCAAAGAGATTAACAAGGATCTAAAAGAGCGGAAGCTTATACCTGAATCCATTGCTTGATCTTGATTTTGGGTTTTGGATCTTCTAACCTTAGGGTTTTCTCTTTTAGCCGAATTTCTCTAGCTAGATGGAGGTGTAGAGAATTAGAGAATGTAACCCTAGGTTAGGGACCATAACCCCTTATTTATAGATGTTGTACTTTTGTAATTTAGCCCCTCAATAAATTACAATTACAACCTGGTATCTGCACATATAACCCCATGACTTATTTAAATACCAAATTAACCCAACTTAATTGATCACTTTAGTGGGTTATCCTGAAAGATAGCAATACACATTGATTAATCATATGTGCCCACAAATAGATTTATTAGATTAAATCCAACAATTATCTCATTTCTTTCTTTTTCTTTTTCTATTTCTTTTATTTTCCTTGACCATATTTCTTTTATTTGGCATGAATGTGTCAAATCCCATATCATTCTCGTTCAGGATTGCAAGAGGGCATAACACTGGGTTGCAATGTCACGCACAATCAATTTCATATTCAATATTAAATTTAAACTAACCTTTCATGTTGCCTCTTTCTCCATTTATTTTTTTGTCTCTCTAGTTGGGTTTTTTTTGTCAATGGTTTGACTGCTATCCTCTCCTTTTTTTTTAAATACAGGTTGTAAGGTATTCTCATTATGCTACAAGTTGCATAGGAATTTGTCCATCTTGGCTCACCTACTTCAGGTATGGCAAGAGGGGAAAATAGGGGGGAAACCATCTTTTTTTACATGCATAAACATGTTTGATTTTTTATACCTGCTCTCAAGTAGAGACCTTCATTTGTTAGCCTACAAGTTCCTTTATGCAGTTGAGTGAACCCATGTGCTAGAAGTGAAATGGGAATATATTTTTGCAAGAACTTGATAGTAGCTCCGAGTATTAATCTGGTGAATTGTAAAGGAATTTGGTCCTTACTCAAAGAAATTAGAGTGAGCGCGTAATAAACAAGTTGTTAGTCTATGCTTTATTGTGTGTTACGATGCGTGGATGACAATAATGTAAGTAGTTGAAATGATTTAATGGGGAAGGTCATGGATGAAAGCTTCACTATGGGTCCAATGTATACTAAGCTAGAGAAAATAAAGATGATTGAGTATGTGCAACAATAGCTCATGTCTAAACCCAGCAAGTAAATATAAATCATTAGTAAGAGGGGTTTAAACTGTTACAATATAAAAACATAAACCTCAATTCTCATCATAACTTCGGAGTGTCCGTGTAATGTATTAGAGCAGCCTAGGTTCAAATCTCACCGGCCCTGAATTTAAAGCGGATATATTACATATTTACACCGCTGCGTGAGTCCAGGTTCCGGCCCATTAAAAGGACACTCAACCTGCAGGGCATATGTTAGAATATAAAAGTATAAACCTCAACTCTCACCATAACTTGAGAGTTTTGGTTTAATGGTTATATGGACTTAATTTAATTTAAGATAAACTTTGGTCTGGACCATTGGAACGGGAGATGAATAACTACAAAAATCTTATTGATGAAATATAGAAGACAAGGAAGCAATCATGATGCAGGTCTCTTAAGTCAAATTTTAATTCCAGCATTCTTCTTTACGTTAATTTTTAAGTGTGTCATGCTAAAATCGGGAATTGTTTAGTCCCCAACACCTGATAAATGCCATATATTTGTGGTAGGACTGAGTTTTAACAAACAATTAGCTCTGTTTACTCATGATGAATTTATTGAAATTTTGACATCATATGTTGTCTATGTCATTTATGATCTCTTGAGTAATGGAAACATAGAGGTAGATGTTGTTGTCCTCACTACTGATACCTATGATAAGGCTTAGTCCTACATATCCAACATAGCTGCCTATTTTGATCTATGATATAACATATGCAGATTTGTGGAAATTGCTGCATGCACATGTTATGAATATATCACCTAATTGTTTTGTCATAATACATATTCCCTTTTTTATATGACTTGTTTAGGCTTTTCTTTTTTTCCTCCTCAGGTACACTCTGTTTATTCCCTTGTATCCCATTGGTGTTGCTCCTGGAGAAAGTGAGTGTAGATGACACCAGTGTTATATACATATTTTCACCATTTTTGGCTTGCTTACAAAGTTTGATAAGGTAGTCTTCTCTCTGAAATTATTAAATTTCTCTGAATTATTGAGTTTTGCAGTGTGGTTGATGTATCAAGCACTACCATTTATAAAGGATAGAAATCTTTACTCCAAAGTTTTTGATAAGCTCCCATTCAGCTATTACTCTTTTGTCATGGTATGTTAAGATCTCTTTTGCATATTTCACTTGTTTATTGACTTGTTCCTTGGAAAAATTCTTATGCTTATTGGTATGTTTTAGATTGTGCTGGTGTTCTACCCGATTCTATGGTCAAAACTCTACTTGCATTTATTCAAACAACGACGATCAAAGCTGAAAAATCATCAAAAAAAGAAGAAAATTTAGAGTTCGCCTTGTTGCGTAATGGCGAAAGAGCTTGCAGAATCTTCATGGCTCAAGTAAGTGGCATACAATGTTAGAGAACTATGATTCACTTAATCAGAGTTTATCTGCCTTGTTTCAATATTGGCTCCTAAAGCTCAGAGAGGTGCACTGCCTAGAAATTTGGCTATGTAACTATATGAAAAGTAAATTCTTAATAAGATGCCTTTTTGTCTATCTAATTGTTTGTTAAAACAAGTAGTGTTACTTATTGTTCTATCATTAATTATATAGTTCATTAGATCAATTATTGCTTTTTATGCTTGCTGTACTGTCTGAAAGAAGAACATTTAAAAAAAAATGGTTGAAAACTAATACATTTAAGATGCCATGCCTACATTATTCTCCCCTGCTACCTCTATATCCATTGCAAACACTGAGATGAAAATCTAAACTCATCTGATCTACGGAAGGCGGTCTCGTCCTTCATTGCTAATGAAGAACGTATCATATACCAGATGCAGCGCCGAGCATGGGGCCAGCCCAGAAAATCCAATGGTCTGTCCAGTCCCAGCTCACCACCGCAGGCCCAAATGCCACCGCCGGATTCATGGACGCCCCACTGAAAGCTCCGCCCACCAAAATGTTGGCTCCAACAATGAAACCGATTGCCATTGGGGCGATTACTCCAAGGTTCCCCTTCTTCGGGTCGACAGCGGTGGCATAAACGGTATAGACGAGGCCGAAGGTCATGACCATCTCGAACACGAGACCGTTCTTGTTGCTGAGATCCGTTGCAAGCGACAATGCTTCGATCTCCTGCATTGAACAAATATACATTATCAGGTCTGCAGATGGATGATATATAATATTTATCATATTGGTACGCGATGAATATACTAATGAAGATGGCTACGGTTCCGCAAGGGAAATTCATATCCACGCCAGTCAATGTTCATCAAGAATAGGAGGAAAACAGAATTTCTCAAATCAAAATCCCTATCGTTTTGAGATATGGACTGTGCATCATAAAAAGCTTGTGAAATTTACCATCCCGCCGGTTGCAGACTTGAGAAGGAGGCAGGCGACCACCGATCCCATCCCAGCAACTGCGCGATCCAGTACATTATCGCGCGCAACAACGTTATATTACCACAGATGAATGCGCCGAACGTCACTGCAGGATTGACGTGGCCTCCTGATATGTTAGCCCCGACAGAGACCGCGACAAACAACGCGAATGCGTGCGCCAAGGCCGATGCTACTAGGCCAGAGGGAGTCATTGGGCTGCCATCTGCAATCTTAACTGTATACAGAGCAAGGTGCATTCAGACAGAAGAGAGTTCGACAAAATGAAAAAAAAAAAAAAGTAAAAAGATTTAGGATCCTACCGAAGGCCAATGTGGATCCTTGGCCGGCGAAGATGAAGATGAGGGTGGAGATGAACTCAGCGAGGGAGGCCCTGAGCGCGGCGGGGTGGCTGGCTTCACCGGGCTCTCCGATTGCAATCTCGGTGATGGG